GGGACAAGCCTATTAAATAAATAAATAAATACATAAATACATAAATAAATAAAATATACCCACTGAAACATGGATGGAGTTCTGGAGGTTCTGTGAAGTCAGTGTCAGAAATGATGTCTGGTTCCTAATTCCTAATCACCTTGCTGCTGGTTCTCCACTTCTGACTCTTGGAAAAAAATTAGGCTCTGCTTATGGAACTGAACTTTTGCTTGCTGTTTTCCTTTTTTTCTTACGATATCTTGGTTTCTGACTCAAGGATTGAGCTTGGACTATGCTTTTAGATCCAGATTCTTTGTTCAATGAATGAACTTTGAGATGTTTACTGACTCTGTTATAAGTGCTTGACTTTAAGCTTTGATAATTAGCTGATCCTCTAAACATATCCTAGCCAAATCAAAGTACAAAGCATGATCAGAAGCAACATATTATATCCAAACCACCAAAATATGTTGTTCTTGCTCCTCCAAGGATCCTAATGCATATACATTCTATATATAAAGGGAAAAGTGGAACTTTATGTTAACTTTTTGCCCTTCCCACCAGAGGATAACTGTCTATAGAAGAGAGCCTCATCTATTTGTGGAAACTCTTTGTTTGCACACAAAATCCTGGAAATCAAAATTTTAAGTCATGCAGAGAAGTTCCAGGGATAGACTTCACAGAGCGATAGAAGGGAATGGAGTTAACATATTTCTTCTGCGTTCTCCCTCTTCATTGGGAGAACTTGCAGACTTTAAGAATGCCTAAAGAGACTTAGTGGTAATCTGGCAGAGTAATGTCATCCTATGTTTAGAATGCATTGAGACAATTGGAATTTATTTTCAATGGGGAGTTTTCTCTCAAGCAGATGAACCTTCCTCAAAACAACATTCGTAAGAAGAATGAAAACAGTGACTGCTTGGAAACTTTTTTCAATATTTAGGAATTCAAAAAGTAGAATGTTGGTAAATGTTTTCTGCTTTACAAAGGCAAAATAAATGTTGTAATAATATTTTAGAGACCTAATGTTTTCAATTGTTTCTGTTGTGTTTATTGTTTTAAAAGTTCCTGAAGATGTCTAGTGCAAGAAAGGTAAAACCAAACGCATGTCACAACTGCTGTATATGTGGAGAAAAGTATGAATTTATTAGGTTTAAGCTTAATGAAAAACAAGAGTTCAAAGCAGGAAGAAGTAGAAAAATGCTGATCTATGGAGCAGACCAAAACATTCTAATTAAAACACTCTTATTAGCCATGCATTACATACCATGATACATGTGCACACATATGCATGCCTTCATTGACATATTACTGAAGATACCTACTGTGCATAACCCTTTCAAGATATATGATAACATCACAGAATGAAGAATGAGCAATTAAAACCAGTGGATTAACCACTACAACACTGACTTCTTGTTCCTTATCCTTAGTAGTAAATTTATTGCATTTAGTTCCAAAATGGATACCAATCCAATATATACAGTATTCTTAAATTTTTGGATATAACGTTGCTAGACATTTGAAATGTTGCACAGTTAGCACATTAATGAAGGCTCATTGTAATCGGGACACAGCTCAACTGGAGACATTCTTGCTTCCCTTCCATTTTACAGATAATATAGATCTTGGGATTATCATGGTAGGAAACTGCAACAAAGAAGGCAGACCTGAAACATATTTGTTTCCAAATACCTTTTCAAAATTCCTACCTACAACTTCTGAAGTAAAATAATATCCAAATATCTTCTGCATGAGAAGAAATTATGTATGTTCCATATATGTATTTTACATTAATATCTGAATTCACTATTTGAAATTTCACATCAAGGTTGGTATATTAGTGGCTTGCAGATGAATGTAATAAACATATATTCACTTCAGCTGCAATCCTATTCACTTCCATGGGAGCATGCTTCACTGAACTGAATGGAATTTATTTCTCAGAAGACGTATCTTAGCTTTAAAAATGGATTAGGCACATTCATAAAAAAACTTATCAATAATGATTAGTCTTGATATGTAAAGAGACTCAATCTTCAGAAGCATATGCTTTTGAATACAAATTGAAGACAAATAGAGAAAGCATTTGTCTTCCTTCCCTGCTTCTTCATTTCCTGGAACACCTGGAAGCCATTAATGCAGACAAGCTTCTAGATTAAATGATTTTTTTGGTCTGATTGGACAGATGTTCTAATGAAATACAACATCATTAGATATTCTAATGAAGCATTTGAAAGCATCTGACAGGTAACATGTACTGGTGGTCTGACAGGCAACAAGTACTGGAGGTAAATAATATGTAGCTGCTGTTGGCATTCAACAGTGTTTATTTGTTAACTTATTGACAGACAATATTTGACAGAGTACCTGACACTACCATCCCATTTCTATATCATTTGTAGTTGATTAATTTAAAGTTATTTCCTTGCTAGTGATTAATAGCATCTTCTAGTTTTGTCCAACCATTTGTTGTGCCAATACAACAGTAATGACGACAGGCTTTAAGTTGCTGTATGATGCTAGAAAACACCATAAATTGCTAGGGAGGAAGAGGGTTTAATGACATCTTGATTCTGTACATTGTATCAAAGAAATATGTAGTTAAAACCCATATGATAAATCTGATCAGCTGCAGAACAAATCAAAGGATGTAGTAGGCAAAAAACTATTTCTGTCCTAGAAACATTCACTTAAAATTAAATTACATTCAACAAAAATTATAGACTTTTTTTCTCATAATTATGGAATTATGTGGTCAGTGAACACCACTATTTTATGTTCTGTGAGACGGAAAATAGATACTCATGCTCAGTGGATTTTCTCTCCCCTGTAGGAGTGCTCTGCTTGTGGTTATTCTTTGCTGAAGTGAGCTGGAAAGACTAAGTTTCTTTCTCTTTTTTTTTTCCTTCAGGAAAATACTTACCTAGTCAGTGGCATGTTCATGAGTTCTGCAAGTAAGAGCCAAGAGCGAGCTATTCATGCTGAACTGTGTATAAAAATATGTAGAAATAATTAATATTATTGCATTTCTTGAATTTCTTCATATAGTCATCATTTTCTTACCTAAACATTTTTTCCTTATTTTGTTACTATACATTTTTTCCTTATTTTTTTCCTAACAAAATTCTTGGGGAAAATGTATCTCAATCAAATTTATATGGGAAAGATGTTTAAAAGGTTTATGGGGAAACTGCATTTTGTTATATTATTTAGTTATTTATTTCAAAGAGTTTGCCCTTTTTTCTGGAAAAAAAAAGTCCTTAATGTAACTTACAAAGTACAATAAATAAGTTTTTTTTTAAAAAAAGAATCCTTGATGTTCTCAAACCATTTTATAAACCACAGTTTATATCTGATAGCTACAATCATAAATGCATCATAAATTGCGTACATTCAAGGTAGCAACGGTAGGAAACTTCACTTTTTAATACTGGCTATATCACAGTTTCTCCTGAGCACAGGATATCTATGTTTCTTATACTGTGATAAGAAGCATAAGCCATAAAATCCAACAGCCCAGAATTTGACCTGTTACATAGGCATAAGGGAAATAGGTATAAAAGAATCCAAGCCATCTTGGACTGTTTAAATAATGGAGGAAGTTTGACATTCTAAATTTTCTAATTGTTTTAAAAAGACAATTTTAAAAGTATTTGTTGTTGTCCACTCCTTCCCTGGCATTTCCTTCCCTAGACAAGGAGAGGCATGTGAAGCTGACAGGTAGAGATATGGGTCTCAGTTCTAAAGTATATACCCATTCCCTTTTCATCTGTTTTATTAGTAATTTTTACATAACAGCTTAATTCCTAGGGTTCCTAGACAGGGACAGAATATTTCAAATGGGCAGAGGAATTAAATATGTCCAAGATTTCAGCTAGAATTTTAAAACAATGGTGAGAAGAGACCTTAAGGTTTTTACCAATCACTTTCTACAAAGAGATGCCTAGAAGTGCAGAAGATAAGGATACAGAAAAGCCACAAAGTGGATTATTTTTCTTTCATATATGAGTATTTTAGAAGGAAACTCTCTCAGGTTATTAAATCAGCATTTCAATTATGGATCATAAAAATGTTTAAGGAACCCTCCCCCCCCCTTTGAAATATTCAGATATGAGAAACCAGGAGACTGTGAGTTCTAGTCTTGCCTTAGGCACGAAGCCAGCTGGGTGACCTTGGGCACTCTCTCTCAGCCCTAGGAAGGAGGCAATGGCAAACTGCTTCTGAAATGTTGCCAAGGAAATGGCAGGGACTGGTCCATGCAGTCACCAGGAGTCAACACTGACTCAAAGGCACACACACACACAAAACAACATCTATATATACTATGATCACTGAAGATTATAAACACAGAGGGTTTTTTTTAATGGTGGGCATAGGTAAAAATAATGTATTTGACAGCACTAATCTGAACATTAAGCAGCAATGCAACCCTAGTATGTCTACTCAGAACTAAATCTCACTGAGTTTAATAGGCTCCAATTTTGAACTCCAAAACAATCTCTGAACTGAACAAATTTGTTAGGAGAATATATAGGAGTGATGTAACTATCCCAAATCTTTAATATTAAACTCATGGTTCATTTGCCCTTACAATATTTTTCCAAGAGTTAGTGATCTGTTTTACCAACATTTATCAGAGCATATAAAAAATTGAATATAAAATGGTTCTGTGAATCAATCATCATTCACATCTGTTATCATATCATAGAACATATTTATCCATGACTCGCAGAGTTGCAAAAACAGTTGAATTGGCCCTTATCTATCTATTTAAATTATGCTATTGATAAATTATTCAGCCTATGGAAAAGCAAGTTTAACATGTCTTACAAGGAAGGATACTGTAGATTGAGGTTCAGGTATATTTTATACGCTGTACAGTTATGGCAAAATATTATTTAGCTTCTGGGTAAAAGTTAACTGCAAAGAAGGAAGTGAATAAAGATCTGCTAATATTTTTTCCGTTACCCTCACGGTACTAATATTGTTGTTATGAATTAAATACAGTTTTAGTAAATAAATAAGATTTATCTTTGTGTCCAAAGAGTTTCTATCTTTATAATCAGTTTTGTTTTAAAATAAGAATCAAGCAAAATAAGAATCAAGCTAAATAAGCTGATGAAACTGCTCTCTCCTGCCCTCATCATATATGTATGTATGTATGTATGTATGTATGTATGTATGTTTTAAAGGTGTTCTAGAAACTGAGTCCTTACTGCTGAATGACTCCTACTGAGATTTCCCTTTCACCCCAAACACATAATGGGAATCTTTAATCAGGTCATTACAGAGCTGCCTGCAGCAACTGTTCTAAGCTATGCTTCTTTTAGGGCTTTCTACAACAGGAGACAAGCAGGAGAATTAATGGGATATTCAATATAACTAAGCTCTCCCTGCTTCTAAATTTATGCACGCAATATAGGCAGGCATTTAATCTAACTGGTCTCTTGGTTCAACAAAACAGTTGCAGTAGCATATGGACAGTGAGAAATGTGGAAATAGTCAGCATATATAACCAGCACATGATTGAGGTGGAAAGTACATTTGGTGTTTATGTAGACGTATATGGTACACAGTGTACAGCTACCCAAACTATTTTAGTGGGGCATTGTCCATAACTAACTAAATATTGCCTTTGGTTGAAAAAGTTCTGGATTAAATAATCAATTCCAATAAAACTGTAGAACATAAAGTAAAATGTGCTCTGATGCTGGTTCTTATACCTCCATTTATTTTTAAAGCACCTTCCATGGGTAATCAGCTTGCAATAAGCCTAGATCCAGAAATGGCACTAGCTCATATCCCTTCATATAGTAATTTAGTGTGTTACATATTACTGAAGAAATTATAAAAATAATTTAAGGAAATTCATTTTATTTATTTATTAATTCAATTGCTATGGCTGTCCATATCAAGTACGTGACTCTGGGCAGCTCACATCATTAAAATAAATGAAAATATATAAAAACTAAAATAAAACAAGAAATAAAATACACAGCTGCTGTAGAATCATAAAAAGCCCTCAGCACAGCCAAGGAACAGGCTCCACACTGGGGGCCCAGGCTCAGGCACAGAACCAGGTCTTCAAAGCCTTACAGAAGGCCAGCAGGGTGGGGGCCAACATCATCTCAGGAGAGATGATGTTCCAGAGGGTGGCTACCATGGCAGAAAAGGCTCTTCTTTGAGGCCCTGCCAACCAACATTCCTTGGTTGAATCAATTTTATGCTGAATTAAGTTAGGTAACATTTGAATCTGAAATGCTCTTACTGAAAGTTTACTTGTCATAACGATGGCCATTGATTCTGGGCCCTAACAGGAGCCATCTAACAAAATTAAACTTTACAACACTAGAACAGCAGGAAGAAATAATTTACAACCAATGATATAGCATGCAATATTATTACTATTATACAGTATATTATGATACAACCTTGTCTATAACTTTTGCTGACGGTGAGACAATAACGTTGGTAGATTCTGGACCTTGCTGCTTCCGAATTCTTGCATAATGAGCTCTAATTTCTATTTCATGCTTTATGGCTGAAAAAACAGTATTATATTTCAGCAGTGAAACCGATTTCTCTAATTATCTCTTAAAACATGAAAAAGTACAGTTAATTTTAATTTAAGGTTGTCCTACAACTCAATTTGTTTGTCTCCTGTAAACCTGAGCATTACTGAGAAACCTGCCACTTAAACTTCCAGAAGCCAAACAAGATTCAGCCATGAATCTTATCAGAAGGAGAGGGAAAACCTCATTATGGGCAGTATTCCTACCCATAAACATGATATGCAAACCCAAGTTTACAAGCAGTTTCATGTTTAGAAACTATATACACTTTAATTGTGTAGAATATTGCTAAGAAATTCCAAAGGATCCTTTTAAAATTTAAGTAAACTACCTTTTTGGCTCATAAAGGCATGTCCTGTAGAAACACAAACAATCATGTCTCTTTCTATTTCTTCCCATGATTGCAGCTGGTGTCCATCAGGTGTATATAGTATCTTTGCAGGCTGTGGCATTTTTAGATGAGTTGTACAACTGTCAAGTAGCTGAAACATTAAAAGGGCATTAATATTCAGTAGTGTCTGTTGGTTTGATAGCAAGTCAGAATATACAGTTTTCAACCTATCAGCCAAAACAGAGACACCAACACTGTAGCTCATTTATATGTAATTACTTGCACAACAGGTGGGGTTTTTTCCAGCCATAACTTACAACTAAATCAAAAATAGATACATTTGAACCAAATAGTCAAGAATTATATTTGGACTTCATAGTAGACCTGATAGAAAAAAGAGGATTGCCTGCACAAAGAAGGATGCAGAAATATAATGAATGGTGTTGGTGTTAACTAGTCTTGGTTAGTTTTCCTTTCTCTTTTCTCATTCTTTTAAATTCTTTTGCTTACTACTTCTTAATCTTTTGCTTTCCATAAGATTATGCTTTTGATTATACCAAAAGGAAATGAGAATATATGCATCCATGTGTATGTTTATGAGTGGGTATATGTGTGTTTATTTACCTTAGGGTTGTGCAGTGCTTTGGATTCAGTGTGGAAGAAATGCTTTGGAAGATATAGAAGTACAAACATAGTACTTGTTTGCAAGTCATTAAAGCCTCTGCATCTCATTTCAAAATCCCATGCCATGAAATTTATACTGGAAGGAATAACTAACTTGAAATTCTTCACAATCAAAATTAATTAGTTACTCCTAATTCCCCTTAATTAGGAGAATTTGACCATACAGTATAATCAAGGGCTGATCAAGTGTTTGATTTTTTAGACTTTGTTTCTGTCTTAAGGGGAAATTAGATTACTGTGTACATGTGAGGAGTGCAAGAAATACAGAGGATTATCTAAATTGATACAGAGTAATTTCAAGTATAGTATGTAATCCGTCAGTACAGAAATGGTATGATTGCATAAATTAATGAAATATACATCTCTCAGTGTCTAGCCAGCATGATCAACTGTGAGGATTTGTAGTTCAGCATCCAATGGAGTGCCATATGTCTCCAACCTTTGTTTTAAACAAAGGAAAAACAATGGTTTGGAGTGATACAGTGAGCATGATAGGATTATCTCGTAAGCAATTGATGCATATTCGCTAATGTGATGTAGCAGTTAATATGTTGGACTAGGAATGGAAACCCCCAGATTCTGGTCCACCCTCAGCCACAGAAACTCTCTGGGTGACTCTGAGCCAGTCATTTTTAATCAGCCTGACCTATCCTATAGGGTTGTTGCTGTAAAGAAAAATAGGTCTTACACTTAGATATAAGCACATACACAATATTTGTATTAATACATAAGATTGTACATATATAAACTGTATCTTATCATATGAAATTTTGTTTAAAGGAGTAATCCCCAATATTTGATTCCTTTATTTATTTAAAAGAAAAGTTGTCCTGCTTTACCTCTATAATGGTTTTTCCCCAAACATGTGCTCCTTGCTCAGGTATATTTCCATTTGCATAAGCCCACACTCTTTTGGTTGTGGGCTGCTTGTAGAGACCTTGGTCATTTTTTGCAAGTAATTTAGGGGAAAAGGGAGAACTTCTTTTGAACTGCAGTGCGTGAAGCTCTGAAAGGTGCATCTGGTATGAAATATAATCCAAAATCGTGGAATTAGAATCAATGGCTGACTCTGTATGGTAGTTTATATTCTCCAAAACCATACTAAAAAGTATGTTACATTAGAAATATACACACTGATATCTATCCTTCTTTTTAAGCAAGAACAATTTAAGGCATTGGCTCAGTGGGCTTAATTTTTGTGTAAGAGGTTGTCCTGAATACTTTTTATTCATTGAAGCCAAATAGGAAATGAAGCTTCCAGTGAAGACCTGAAGGCAAATGCAGGTCAGAGAAAGAAAAAGTTATCTGGAGCCAAGGCATCTGCAGCAAGCCAAGATGTCATCAAAATGTCAAAATGTGTACCTGCAACAATGCAATGCAAATATAAAAGGGCTGGGGTTTTCATCATGACATCACTACATATGTACATATGTATGCCTTCCTTGCTCTCCCACAAACACAAAAGTATGGAACCTTATATGGCAAGCACATTTGGTGGTTCCAGTAAACAATGGCTGAAGAAAACTATCATACACACTCTTCAGAGCATCTAGCATTATAAATTAAATTTTTTTAAAAAAACATCTCCTAAAAAGAATCCTATTAAGCAATAATAATGATAAGGGTAATAGGAAGGCTATGTTTTCTAAAGCAAAAGTCGGGTTTTTGCTTCAAATTATACACGTGCAACTCAAGCTGCTTATTGCATACTTAGGATATATACTTAATAATTTTTTATTACAAGTGTAGGTAATGTGGAATCTTGGGGGCTGTGAAATTATTGATCCTACCTGTCCTTTTTTAAAAGTATTTGCAATTAAACAAAGAAATAAAAGGAAACTGGCATGCTTCAAAGCAAATTCCAAATTTTAGTATCATATTTACAGCCTCTCAGTTCCAATAACCTCCACTGATATTCTTGAAGAATTAAAGTGGTATATTTCTGAAATCCAGTACTTGTTATATAATGAACATGTCAAATAGATGGTGATCACAAGGAAGAATGTTGGCCAGTCTGTAAGCATGGCCATCTGTGGAGGAAGGGAGGCAAATGACAAAATGTGTGTCTCTTGATGCAAAAACAGAAACTTGTGTCACCCACAGGGCCTAAATATATAAGGGTGGGATTTGCATCATGATGTTCCTGAATGTGTGCTGTCATTTTGATATAATTTTGATTTGTTGCAAATACCTGTGTCTGAAAGTCAGACTAAGATCTGTAGAAAAATAGTTCCATAAAGGCAAGCACAAGGTTCAGCAGACCAAGGTTATCCAGTATGATGCTGGCATGGAGAGCAGAAGTTGCTTAGACAAATCTTGTCCTTAACAAACTGCCTCTGCTGACTTTTCAAGGCCCCTGGCCCTGGTCCCTTCCTAACCCAGCTTTTGCTTGTTAAAACAGAAGCAGCTATCTGTTCCAAGTGCCTGCCCCTTTAACCCTGAGCTCTGTTTCCACTCCAGTCTTTGTTCTGTTCAGGGGCAGCAGTGCTGTTTGGTGCTCAGAGATTGTGGCTAAGGATCAGGGACTGAGCAACCACATCTGTGGGATATGCAGGGCTCTGGACTGTGACACTTTCCACTCTGAATATTTTTTAAAAAATGTTTTATTATATTGCTCTAAGACATACATAATACATTATATTATTTTGATACACTGTATTTATACAGTGTTTACTAGAGTTTATTAATAGTCTAATGTTTAGGTAACTTAGACCACTAAACTCTCTCTGAATTTGATAGCTCAACAAGGTCTGGATCCTCACCTTCAGACATCTCCCACTTGGAAGGAGGGTAGTATCTAACACAACCTTGTCCATGATTGTGGTTTATTTGGACATATGTCCATCTATTTGCCCTTCCAAAAGATAAAGGCAAAAACTTTCTGGGGGCAAGAAAAAAATGACAGGGAGCAACTGGTGTTTGGTGATTGGTCTTGCCCACAATGACAGCTTCCTTCATGCAATCATTTTGTGAGACCACCCACAACTTTCAAATGTGCTCACTGACCCAAAAGATTTCATGTCCCATTTTATTAAACAGAATGAAGATATCTTTATGATTCTGTACTTTAGAGTGCTTCTAAAAATATAACATACTGCTCTTTTCCCAGTTCCTTCATAGTGATTATTTATTAAAGACTTAATGAAAATGGCTGTTTGAAACACAGTGCTTCCCTTTAGAAACTAAACTTTGATTCCAAGACCTTGATGATAAAACTGCAGTCTCAGGGGGACTGCCAAGTTCCTTTCTCTCAAGAATAATATGTGGATTACGGGGAAGTGAAACATGTAGATAAAATGTTTGGATAAGAAAATAAAAGAATAAGTTCTGCTGCCGAGAGCAGTTCTACCCAATGTAAAATTATACATATTTCTCTCTCACTATGACACGGAGTCATAGTTCACATAAGTTCTTGGGTTAGTGGGTCACAAATCTTTTGTTAAAACTTGTAGATTTTATTTCTCAGGAAATTAGGTAGCACAAAGTATATATTCATACCTCTGTGTGTTGTATAGTTTCCATAAGCTTCATCTCTTCTTGAGTTTCTTCAGTCCAGCCTCCTTCTACTACCACAGGCTGGAAAGGGCTCTTAGTGGGCACCAAATCAGCAGCTTTATATTTTGTTATGCGACGCCCTAAAATAAGAATAATTTCAAAGTTTTTTAAAAAACTTATTTAGAAGAATTTTAATTCAGTAGAACAAATGGCAATAAAACAAACAGCAAATAAGATAAGCAGACACTACACAGGACACAGAGAATGTCTAATAGTTTGAAAAATATTGGCTAGGAACTAAATTATACAAATACCGTATGTAGATGGTGGCTATGATAGGTTGGGTGTGATTCTCATTACCATGTTGGCCTTTTATTTTAGAGTGACAAATCAGAGAACACCAGTGTGATAATGGAAGAAACCAGCATAATATAATCCTTAACATCATAGCATTGTCATTATAATTTGCTGTTTATATCTTAGCTACTTGTACATTTATCTCTTACTTTGCCAGATGAAATCCATGGATTACAGCAAGATTCTAGACTAGATCTGAAACCAGATGAGCAAAATAAAACTGAATTGGGGAGGAAAAATGTTCAAAATCCCCAAAATCCCTAGTCTGGAGATGCGGGAAGCTGCTAGAGGAATAGCTGAAAATTGTCACTTTCCTATTGAGCTGATCATACCTTCTATTGGTGGCAGAAATTTAGAACTGTACAAATAATATAATTATTAAATGCTGACTGTTTGTTTGGTGCCATCGAATCAGGCTCAATTTCCAGTATCCGCTCAGGATCTTGATCTGTCACCAACAGTGACAGTTCCAAGGACAATCCTATAATTCCTTTGTTCTTGGCCATCCACCTTATTTATTGTCTTCTCCTTCTATTGTCCTCAGCCCTGCCAAGCATAACAGTTTTTTCTTGTCCATCACCTGACTGCATCACATGCAAGTACTTTTTTACAGCTCATCACTTCAGTGTGGTGGTAACATGTAACATTTTTGCCCTTTTGGAAAATAATACTGTGGTTTTCAAAAAAAGTAGCAGTAGATCTTTCAAGCTTTAAATCACCTTTCTGGATTTAAGTAACCTCTTTTTTCCCACCCACCACTCCACCCCCATTATCCATAAACTCTCTCTAAGGCTAGTAGTGAGCATATATTGGACTTTCTCTCTTTCCTAGCCCTCAGGGATGGGTCACAGCTATTCCCCCCCCCCCTTTTTTTTTTTGGCTTCCAAGTCCTGGTGACTGTCTGGACAAGTCCATGCAGTTTTCTTGGCTGAGAAAAAGTGATTGGCCCAAAGCACCCAGCTGGCTTCATGTCTAAGATAGGACTAGAATTCACACTCTCCTGGTTTCTAGCCTGCTACCTTTAAGCACTACACCAAACTGGTTCTTGCTGTTTCCTTAGAACTGCTTAGATATGATTTCCCCATTTAATGCAATTAACCCAATAATTACTATCTCCTTCATTGCCATTTCCTGTTGACATGTTTGCATTGTATTGCTCCTTGATAAAATCTAACTCAGTTCTCTGAAGTGTTTCTGGTTGCAGTTTTGAGGTCCATATTTGCTCTGAGATGTGGAGGTTTAAAAAAATTAATTATAAGATCTTGCTTGCATACCAGTCACACTGGACACTCCTGGTGTAACAGTAGCAGATAGCAGGAGAAAAGAAGGATGCATTTTCAATAACGTTAATATATTGAGAAGTCTCAGCAAGAAGCTCTTGATACATGGACTAATATTAAAAGTTGTTATCTCATGTTAATACTATATTATTGAAAATAATGTAATTACAATGAAATAACTTTCACTATGACACTGACCTTGCAGTTGCCTCATTTTGTGTTTCATTGCATTAAGGTCTGCCAGAATTTTATCTTTTTCTAGCCACTTCTGTCTTTCCTGCCTCTCTGTGTTTTGCAAAGCTGTAATGAACAAAATATACATTATTTTTGGTATAGTTTTTTTTTCAAAAATGATTTTGCATCTAAAGGTCTAGAAGGATTACCAATTAGCATAATTGGATCTATTTCAGCATATAGATTTTAAAAATCAGATACTTGTAGCAAATTAAATAGATCTAGTTCTAAATATGTAATTAAAAGGTAAATGCCTCAGAAAAAAACTGTTTGTGAAAATGCTGAAGTACTTTAAACACACCTTAGTCAAATATGTACAAAATAAAGAAAATTAGTAAAGTTACAAATTCAGTACCATTTAGTGCTGTAACCCTGTCTGAAAAATAGCACCTTTTAAAATAATATTTACCCAAAAGAGAGAGTTGCTCTCCACTCCACACACACACACACACACCCAAAAATAACCTGTAAACTGGGAAGGGAAGAGGGTGGTTTGTTAAAGTGCCTCCGAGGGAGTTAGAACCCTGCTTCCTCTTATCACCTTCTATTCGTAGAGAACGAGAACGCAGAATATAGAGCTTCATTTATCCATGGATGCTCTCTACAAATGGGGAAACTGGAAAATCAATACTTTTGGTTGGTGAACAGAGGCTCTGCCACTAAAATGAAGAGGAAGGAGACCCCTGAGAGTGAACCAGAAGTCCTAAGCAGGCTTACCAGGGAGTAGGAGCCACTGAAGTCAGTGGAGCTTGCTATTAGTCGAACACAAATGCATCTATCAGCCCATTTCCTTAATATAT